CTGCCTCTTGTTTTGTTTTTTACATTAGTTTTTAATTAAATGGTCATTTAGAATTCGTTACGTTTCGTTTTGTCTTGTTTCGTTTATTTTTTATTCCGTTTCGCAGTTTACAGGTACCCCAAACGCGATAAGAATATACAAATCAAACTTTCAAAAAGCGAAATGATCAAAACTGAACTTTAAGTTTAGTATTTTATATGTTTGATTAAATATCTAAACTATTTTAATTTTAAAACGAATTTTAGAATTTTAAAATTTTAATTATTTGGTGAAATTTTAAAAATTTCCAAAAGTTTTCAAAATTTGGAATGTTGATATTTGAAAACTTTGATCAAAAATAAAAAAAAATTAAAATTTGAAAACTTTTTAAAATTTTGAATTGTTTATGGCTTTTAACTAGTGTTACACGGACCATAAAATAAAGGACCTAAAAGGATATTTTATAGGTAAACCTGGGTTGCTGGAATCTTGTTCGGATTGTGGATTGACGATGAAATCTTGGATAGGCCCTATTCTATTCACTGACATAAAATAAGTTACTTATTGGTAGTTATAATGTCTTAAATTCTAATTTCCCAACACAAATACCACTAAGCCCCTTAGGTTTAAACAGCAAAAAACCTTGCACATTCTGTAACCGCTCTACTTACTGGTCAAATTCAGATGCAGTGTGGTATTTTATCGATAAGAACTGTTCCTTTTTTTCAACCTCAAGATATATAAATACAAGTGGATAAGGTGTATATATACACCGATTATTCAGCAACAAAAACAACACGTGGTTGATAAAGCTAGAATAGTAATTTAGAGGTACGGTAAAAATACGGTCTTCGCCAATAATTAAAAATTGATATTTTATGTGTCGATTTTATATAGATAAAAAATTGAACGAGCGATGCCCTCTCTTTTTAATATTGAACTAAATAGCAATGATAAGTGTATATGTCCTTGCTACAGAATTAAACAGCTGTGGTACATACAGAACGGCCGATGAAGTTATTTCAATTATGAGAAACTGCTTAACGCCTCAGTAAAATGAAATTATTAAAATTAACATGTGTGACAACATATTTATTATGTGCAAATATCCACATTTCTACTGTATCAAACAATCCTTATTGTCAAATAATATAAAACACAATACAAATGAATAATTCCATTACATGTATGTTTCATAATAATCCGTTATTTTGATTAGCTGACAACAATCCAATATCATGATATCATATTTCATTTCCGTAAAATTATATGACATGTACATGTATATGTTTCATTGAAATCCGTAATTTGATTTGCTGACAACAATTTGGGCACACTAATATCAAATTTCATTTCTGTATAAAATACAACAGCTTTGACTGCACGTGCCATCCGTGACAAAGTTCAAATAGTGCATTGAAAAACAAACAAAAATGTTGATATAAATCTAAGACTTAATTTCATGGTTGTAGCATACAAATGCAATTATAAGAATTGAATGCTCCTTTTTATAATTTAATAGGGTTTTAAAAGAGTTGATCGTGCTCATATCTTTAATATGTGCTTCGGTCAACGCTTTTACACCCCAATAAAATTATAAAAGGAAGCATTCAATTCTTAAATAACGTTATCATGTTCATACTAAACCTGCAATTCACCAAGGCAAAACGTTTATCTCAAACATTTTAGGATTTAATGATGCTAACCAATGTTTACATAATTGGTTTTTCAATACTTTAATCTTGAGCCTACTAAATGACGCTATGACAGAAAAGTGTGCCATATACAGGGATATCAGTTACATGTGTTTTTTTTTCCTTCCATTTCATACACAGTTCTCTAGTGTTGTATTGTCATTTATAGTATGTTGTCTTTCCCTGTTAGAAATTTGCATGATATTTTGAGCCACATACTGTTGTAAAACAGATTGAAAGCACAAGAAATTCTAAAGTAAGGAAAACAATCTTTTAAAATTGCTAAGAATTTACTATTATAATATATATATAGCACCTCTGTATCAGATACATGATAACTAAGTGAAATTGTTTCAGTGGACTTATTTGTATAAAACGTTAATGTGAGAAATTGTTTAGCTTGTCATATAAGTAAGCACAGAAAGAGGCTCCGGTCGTTAATTTGTTCGTTCGAATTAATTTACATTCTTCATTTCATTGCCTTTGACAGCTTGCTTTGAGGTATGGGATTTTCTAATTATTGAAGGCCGTATAAAAATCTATAGTTGTTCACTTTTAAGTTATTTGGTCTCTGGTAGAAAATTGTCTCTTGACAATCATACCACAGCTTTTTTATTTTGTAAATTAAACTGTTTACACATGAGAATAAACATAATCATAAGCTATTTTGTTTACTTAAAAAAAGAAGACTGATTAGAATTTACATAATCTAAATAATAAAAAGGCGAGGCCTCAAACGAATGGAATTGATATTTTACTAAGTTGCCATACTGAATATGCATATGAATAGATGGCAGGGAAAAGTTCACAAGGTGTCTTAAAAGACAAACAATTTATTTTTCTTACAAATGAGTTTTGATATTTCATTATTATTTTAATGAATGCATGAATAATTATATTCTCTAAAGAATCGTAGTTTGAGAAAGTAATAGTAAAAGCGTTTAGTGGAGAAAATATTATGATTTCGTTTTTTTAGATTAACTTTAGTAGGAAGAGTGTAATGTTTATTTCTTTTTCATTTTATGAATACATTCATTATCAGCGCATAATGGTTAGACCGAACGAGAACGAGTGACCAAAATGCTGTAACATGTGAAATTGTTCTCATCTATTTTTTTGTATTATATATATATATTGTTTCTTATTTTAAAAGTAGTTTAACAAAATGTCACAAATAAGATAAAATATGTAAATACCAACTTGTTTATAGATATAAGAAGAAGTGGTATGAGTGCCAATGAGACAACTCTCCATCCAAGTCACAATTTGTAAAAGTAAACCATTATAGGTCAAAGTACGGCCTTCAACATCGAACATCATGCTATAAAGGGCCCCCAAAATGACTAGTGTAAAACCATTCAAACAGGAAAGCCAACGGTCTAATCTATATAAAAAACGAGAAACGAGAAACACTTATGAACCACATCAACAAACGACAACCACTGAACATCAGGTTCCTGACTTAGGACAGATGCAAACAAATGCAGCGGGTTTAAACGTTTTAGAAAGACACACTATAAAATAGCAATTGAAATGGTTTAACTCAATCAAAAGACATATTAACAAAAATAAGTGAACATATACTGAACGAATAAATTTGATCTATGACACAATGTAAATACAAAATTAATAAAACAAGGGAGTTAGATGTAAAACAATATCAGGAAGACAACCATAACCTTGGACAAAATGCCGCCAAATGAAATAACGTACACAGGTAAATAAAAATAATTTTGTTGTATTGTATACATGGAGTATGGAAATATATTTTATTACAAAATAAATAATTTTGTTGTTCATAGTACGAGAACAGAAGTGAAACTTTATAGTCATACCGAACACTTATCAAAGGTGGTATATTAAAAATATTCAACGAGATATAACACTATTAAGTAAACATTAAATAAAAAAAATGCATTACAAATAGTATCAACTGGTTAAATTAACACGAAAGTACGATTTGAGAGTACTCGCAGTTACTGAAAGCTAGTTAAAAGCCATAAACAATTAATAATAAAAAAATCATGCATCAGAGACTAAAATCAACTAAAACACATCCCAGTGATTTAGTGTTTTAACGTCAAGGACAGTCAAAGAAGACATAACTTGTGCAATGCTTATTTCTAAATTGAATAAGGCATTGATTAATTACGTGCAATTATCTGTCATACACTTACACAACTATGTTCCTATCAAAACAACTGTTCCTGATTGTCCAACATTTATACTTTCCAATTGTCCATTGGCAATATACATCGTCCCGATTGTCCCACATAATTTCTTTGCTTTTTTATCTGTAAATTTTAACAGTGGGACATTTGGGAAGACACCTTTTACTCGACCATTCGGAATAAGACAACAATTACTGGAAATTACTTCAACCCCATCTTAACCATACTTTTCACCTGTACTACACCCATTTTCAGTGTCTCGATTATATAAGACCAGTGCATTTCTATTTTATCCATCTTGATTTTAGAGCCTACTGTACTATTCAAGAATTTCTTGATTCTTTTATAATGTTTTTGGGGTGTAAAAGCGTTGACCGAAACACATTTTGTTTTTTAAGAATGTGAACACGATCAACGCTTTTACAACCCTATGAATAATTTCGAAATGACGCGTATTGTAATGAGACATAAATTTAATGTAATTATATCAGTTTGGTTGCTATTATTTCTGATGTGACGAATTGTTTCACCTGTTATACTACTTTTAAAAGTATGTTTAGGATGTGCACTAGTAATTGGTAGAAACTTTCAGAAGGTTTGACATGTAACCTGATGTCAAGGGCGCAACTTAATGTAAAACGCTCCCATTTGTACACTTTTAAAGTATCGGAAATATTTGTTACCTGGAGACAAACACGCAAACCAATTCAATAAAATATCATTTACAGTTGAATTGACGAGAACAATGTTGCTGTCCAGTTTCAATGTCGACTATTAACACAATTTTATTATAATGAATTTTAGTATTTGTATTAGTTTTGTAGCTGGATAATTCAGAATATGTGATATATAGTCGATATTTTTTTTAGTAAACTACACGGGAAGTTTTCATTGAATCCAAAGTATTTATTATTCGAAGACTTCCTTCCCAAAAGGTTTCAGGGACGTACCAGAGAGACCACAAAATATTTTGAACAACTGATACATTGTGTGCTTTGCTAACATTCATTAACCCGAAAATAAATCGGTGGTTTAGTGGTCATCTGAAAAAACCCACAAACTATCAACTATATTTATAAGGTTGATTTACTTAAAGAAAAAAGTAAATACTGTGATTTTATCTCAGCCGAATGGTTACAAATTAATCAGAACTTACCAAATTGTTGATGTCTTCGTGTAAAAACGCTGTGTGAGGATCGTATGCACACTATCACAATTTGCACCAATTAAAATGAAACTAGATATGAGAAAATAGTAACCCATTAAAGTGAAACCTGAATGGTGCATCAATGGTTTGCATAAATTTGATATGCAGGAAACCGGTAATCTCGGTTAATACATTAAATTTGTACTTGCATGTTATTTCTTCGTAAACATTACAATAAACAAACCAATATTATCGTACAATGTGATCTAGTCTGCAGAAAGAAATCTGTCATGTACCACAACTCCACAGTTATAAGGGTGTCTGTCCGTTTTGTAATTTTGTTCTTCCAATTAAATTGTCTGGCTCTGTCTGAAATCTTTTAATATATCCCCTTTAATGTACATAGATAAATAGCTACATTATAGGTGACATGTTGTAGCTTTCGGAGGTAACAATTTATAGTAATTCTCATCACATATATTCTTGTTATAACTTTGTTGATGCATTGCTAATAATAAATGGAAAAGAACTCAGTGTGATATAGCTGCGGGTTGATACCGTGGCTGACATGAGATTCCGATTCAATTTCAATGGCAGAGCCATATCGTCTCGCACGGTCAAAATCCTTATCTCCATCTTCCGGTTTGGGTGACTTACTTGAACAGAAACTAACCCTGTCGTTTATAAAACTATTTTCAACAGAAGATGATTCAATCAAATTAAGCCCATCTTTAGTTGTTAAAATGTTGTCCTATACTATGACGTCGTTGCTTGAAACAAAACATCTTTGTTAAAAGCAAGAGAAGACCAGATTTGGTTACTGGACTTATTGGGGAATATTGGATCTAATAGATAAAAGAAGATGTGGTATGAGTGCCAATGAGACAACTAAGTTTGCATTTGTCATAATTCTGACTACGATCAATGTTTCCGTGTTCTGTCATATTATGTTTATATCGTGACGCAGATTGTTTTCTACTCTTCGTTTTCGTGTGCAGTGCTGAGTTCCGGCGACTCTTTTCATACAAAAATCTTACGTAAAAGTTATAAGTTATACTGAAATGTGTATGACTTACGAGATATTTTTACTCTTATGATTTTTTTGTAAAAACGAGTCGCAGGATTATTGTAGTACAGTCAGCCTTAATACGGGGCACAGACAGGAGGTCTCATAATAATAAAGAGTTGTGGTTTTCAAAATCAAACACTGGAGATGTAAAGTCTAGCGTTGTAGATTTAAAGTTCAGCGATGGGGATGTAAATTCCAGCGCTGGAGATTTATATCTACAGCGCTTGACTTTGCAATTACAGCGCTGGATTTCACATCTTCAGCACAAAGACTTTATATCCACAGCCCCGGACTTTACATCTTCAGCACTGGACTTTGCATCTCCAGCGCAGACTTTACATCTCCAGCTCTTGACTTTTTATATATCTACAGCCCTAGACTTTACATTTGCAGCGCTTGAGATTACATATTCAGCGCCGGACTTTATATCGACAGCGCTGGACTTTACATCTATAACACTAGACTTTAGATATGCAGCACATAACTTCAGATCTCCAGCGCTTGACCTTAAATCTATAGCGCTAGACTTTAAATCACAACTCTTAATTCGTATGAGACCAATCGGGCTCCGTACGGTAAGATAATCATGCATCATTGCTTAAAATATAAAAGGGAATATAATGGTCCGAAAACGTTTTTGATCTAGAGAATAATCTAGAATATAAAGAATAAGGCCGTTCTGTATTTTTTTTTAATAAGCTACAACTCAAATTGTCGACTTGTTCCTTTATTCATATGAGGCTGACTTCATACAGGAGCATCTTAAGAAGAACGAAAAGAAGCTAGAATTATCAAATATCACGTTCCGGTATATAGATGATGTCACCAAATAATTCAAAGTTTGGTGACTATGTTGAACGCATCTATCCAATTGAACTTCAAATAAATAAAGGGATACAACAGCTACATTTAAGTCTGCCTCATATTGAATTACATCAAGAAGTTGACAATGAGAGTCGATTAATAACAAAACTTGACGACAAAAGAGCAGATTTCAGCTTCCCAATTGTAAACTTTCCATTTCTAAGTAACAAGATTTCACCAGCGACTACATATAGAGTATACATCTCCCAGTTGATACGATATAACAGAGCTAACATTTCCCATCATGATGTCCTTGATAGAGAGTTGCTCCTAACAAGGAAGCTATTAAACCAAGAGTTTCAACTTGTGAAGTTGAAATAATTCCTTCGAAAACTTTATGGACGCCATCACGAATTGGTTTATCGCTATGGAATATCTATTTCGCAGATGACTACGGGTATGTTCCAATTGTCGTAACTACAATCCCGTCTCTTTTCCTCAAATGTGACCTACTTAATTATACTTATCATCGATATTGTATTTAAATGGGCAATACGACGGGTGCCACATATGGAGCAGGATCTGTTTACCCATCTGGAACACATGAGAACACCCCGGCCTTTGCTGGGGTTTGAGATGCTCAGTCTTTATTTTTTATACTTTGTGTTTCTCTGAACTGTTGTTTATCTTTCGATTGTTTTTCGTTTTTTGTTATGGCATTGTAATTTTGTTTTCAATTTAAGAGTTTGAATATCCCTTTGGTATCTCCCCCTTATTGTACAAGTTAACACTGATTAATCATATCAAAAAACTATTTTGCTTTGTTCACTGTCTTTAATTTTGGTTCTTTTTATTTGACACAAATTATAGATCTAAAAGTGTTAAACGCCACTTTCTTGACTCTAACGTTGCGGCCAATTTGTATTGGTGGAGGAAACCACCGGCTTTTGGCAGGAAAGTGGCAATCCCAGTCAATAAAGATCGGAGCTCATGTCAATGGTTAATTAGATTGCGTCTAGTATAATATACGCACGAAGCACGGATATATTGAAACGAGTCCGTACATTGCTAACTGTTTCTTTTGGATTGTTTGTAATTTGGATGTACGTTTTAGTATGCTATAAATCGATTATGAAAATTTAAGTCAAACTGGTGAACATGAATTCTACACCTAATGCCCCATTTAGGATGAATAATAGAGATTATGGCTTTCGTAGACGTGACTGCAATTAAACGTCACAAAGCCCAAACGACATACAATGTATTTGCCTTCAGATTAAAAAAAAATCAACAATCTCCTGAAATATTGGGCATCACTTCCACTATTTCTTTTATATTTCAAATAATTTTAAATAATTAATAAAGGTTGTCTCTTTTCTCACCTTTCAGCTCATGTAAATGTATGTTTCTGTTATACACTCTTTACGTAAAAGAAGTATGCACTATCTGTAGCTTGAAAACAAGCTCGGTGGCATGTAATAATTCTATATTTTCCAGTTATACCACCGAGTTACCTTAACATTCATAAAAAGAACATAAATGATCAAAGGCACTCACATCAATAACGATAAATTTTAAACTTTTTAATTATGCTAAATTAGTTTTACCTTATTAATATTTCCTAATTAAAACAATAGAGACATATAATACAATAACTAGAACAATTGTATCATATGTCTCTATCAATACACGATTAACTTTTATTCAAACATGTTTTCTCTCCAAGTGTAAGTTATTAGATATGATATACTATGGTCGAAATATAGACTTTGACAATTTCAACGTGTTTGTATTTACATTACACGAATACCAATACCAGATAAATTTGCTTTAAAAAGAAACCTTTCAAATGGTTTAATACAGTATTGAAAATATACCATTAATTCTATGTAAATTTTTCACTTGATATAAGTTTAAAAGAAACACTGTTCCGGTCTTTTCTACGGTTATTACATCTAAATAATAGTTGTCCCGTCGCTTTGTCTATATTTGCATATAAACAAACATTAAAAAAATATGCAAAACTAAACATAACTACATTACAATGTATCTTATACAGCGAATGCACTTTTATTGTAAAACTCAATACAAAACTATAAAGTTTTTAACATTTAATTTATTTGAAGTCGTATAGGATATTATGAATTTGGTATATTGAAAAGATGGGTGTAAAACTTAAACGACGGGATATAGTAAAATTAGTGACTTGTAAGATATGTGAACACTCAATGACTAAACCAAAATGTCTGAATTGTATGCATTCATTTTGTGAGCCGTTTTTATCTGCATATATTATCAAGTTAGTAGAGAGCGAGGGTAAAATTTTACAATGTTTTAAATGTCCGTCTTGCCAAGCAGATAATAAAATTCCTGATACGTCATTGCCGATCGAATCTTGGGTACGTTTCTTTTCACCAAGTGCTATTGTTACTTTTCTCTTGGAGAAAATGTCTTTGGAAAACTCTCAGAAGTGTGACCCTTGTTAGCGAGGTGACGACACGGTAGATGCTACGTCATGTTGCAAAGATTGCGGTGAAGCTCTGTGCGAGAAATGTGCTAGTTTTCACACTAAAGTCAAAATGCTTATGGATCATACAATTGCTACATTAGATGAAATGCAAAAACAACCAAAACAGATTGCTGACACTGACGAATTGTGCTCCCAACATGGTGGAAAATACGTAGAAGAGTTTTGTGACGACCACGATGCTTTATGCTGCGTCGAGTGCATAACAGAAAATCACACACAGTGCAAAATGGTCCGTACTTTAGAACAGGCTCCTCTGCTCTGGGTATCAAAACAAGATTGGATCCGTTAGTTTATAGAATGAATGAATAAGAAAAACAATCTGTTTCCGTTGTTGAAGACAGGAAAACCAACATGGAAGACCTTTTGAAACAAAAGGAAGACATTCTTACTGAAGTAAATAAAACAAGGACATGCAAAGTTACTTTGAGACACTAGTCTGAGTAGAAACAAAACTGGAAGAAGAAATAGAACAAACACACGATTCGTTGTCCGAAGAACTTCAACTGCAGGCTCAGAAATTCGAACATATATTTAACAATTGCGATAACGGAAAAAGAGTTCTTACTGCCTCCGTAGATTATGGATCTGACAGAGATATCATCCTAACTGCTTTCAAACTCAAAAAACAATGTGAACTTCACGAACTTTACATCAGATC